TTCCTCGTCATCGAATAAACATTTTGTAATACTTTAGACAATTGTCGTTGCAACAGTTATACTGTTAAATCATATCCCACTGTGTTTTCAAAGCAGGGAAAGTTTCGGGAATTGCGCAGCATGAGCTTATTTGATATTGACGGTGTTAAACTAAGTAAGTTGCGGCGATTCCATGCTTTGTTTGGAAGGTTTCTACTTCAGCTGCTAACAGTAGAATAAACGTAGGAGATAGGTGTGAAAAGATTTGAAGAAACTCTCAGGATATTTACTTTGGAACTTTGTGATCCATACTGAAAAAAAGGACAGACAATACTATTTATTTTGTTTCGTCTAATTTCTAAGTCAGCTCCTAACAATAAAATTACTACAGAAAATAAGTGTGAAAAGGTGAGAAGTGTGAACTCTTTGAAACTTTTCGATCAATATAACAATACTACACATTGCAACCTTAATTTTCGTTGTACAACCTGGATAATCAAGTATAATGTTACAGTAGAGGAAATAAGATATAAAATATAAAGTTTTAATGACAAGAGTGTTTGATATTTAATTACGAGGTTATTTATTTTTCATTTGTTTTCTTTCTTTCTTATTATAAAAGTAACTAAAATAATAAAAATGGAAATTTATTAGGTAAAATAATGAAATAATAAAATATAAAAATCTTCATGGGGTACACGCGCCAGCAGCTTATGTGTTACGCTATTCGATACGGTTACGTGAGCTGCACGTGTGCCGCGTGATTTTCAACTTGTGTTGGGGTATTTTTAGTCAGACACGGTTCAAAGGTCATTAAAATAAATATTAATAAATATAAATACTGTTACGAGATTTAAGCTATTTAGAATAAACATTTGTGGTTTCCTGTTACAACTTGCAGTTAGTTTAGAACAACAAAAGAAAAAGGTAATTTAGAACTGGTGTATTTAAGTGTTTATTTATTCATTTAAGGTTATTTAGAACTGGTGTATTTAAGTGTTTATTTATTCATTTAAGGTTATTTAGAACTGGTGTATTTAAGTGTTTGTTTATTTATTCAATTAAGGTGATTTAGATTTATTTCCTAATTTTCATTTGCGTAATCTGTGATCTTCTAGATAATCATCAAACGTTTTTTTATAAAACTTTTTATTTAATCTGTTATTTTATCAATATTAACTCTATGTCGGGGCATTCTTTATAAATATTTATGTTAAGTTTGTGTATTGTTTATTGATACTAATTTCTTAATTTTTCTTTTGTGTGCGTCTTGTCCGTTTGTTTGTAATTAAGCACAAAGCTACACAATGGGCTATCTGTACTCTGCTCACCACGGGTATCGAAACCTGGATTCTAGCGTTTTAAGTCCGTAGACATACCGCTGTGCCACTGGGGGGCGTCTTGTCCGTTACTCGATACCATTGTTTTTGTTGTTTTTAATTGCATGGTTAAATTTTTAGTAACAACAGATGAACGTCTGGTTTAGAATGTAAAAAAGAAAAGGAGAAAACAACAATAGAAATTGTATGTATACACGAGGAAAATTTTACCTTAAATTTTAGTTAAAGAAATCTTAAATAGTTTTTAGGTTAATTGAATGACAAAATAACCTTGTGAATCTGATTTAAAAGTAAACAAATGTTTCTGAAATTGCTATTCAGATAACCCAATGGTGGTTTTAAGAGTTAACTATTAAGCTGTCATCAAGAACTAAATGTTATTTAATTTTAGAATATTTTTGTTATATAACTTTTTTTTTTCTCCTGTCGTTTGTCGCCACCTACAGTAGTTTCACTGTAAAAGCTCATTCGTAATTTACATTGCCTAGTTATAGCGTTTTTCGATCATCTACGTCAGTGATAATTTTAGGTGAGTCTGTACTTTAGAAATCGGACATTGTGATCCACAGTACATGTAAAAGAAAATAAATCCGTTGCGTTTTTCATGCTGGAAACGTGTTCATTCAACCGGTATAAATGCACGTAATGTGCTGCATGCTTGTAATTGGGCCGTCTCGGCCATACATGTAATAAGTACAGGTTTATGTAACCTCAATCAGTAACTTCTGTTTCTAGCTAGGATCGCTTTGTACTAGTAGCCGTTACGTAGTGTATAATTTTCGTTATTTCGTGGATTTTTTTTATTAAGAGCGATCGCGTATTTAGTATCAGTAACGTAATTTGGGCTTCATATTCTAGTTATAAAGTAGTCGAATGTTATGAGCAGTGGTTTAAAAAGTCGTCACGTTTTTTTCAGCAGTTATTGTATACACGTGTATGACGTTTACTAAATTTACGGTGTCATTTAAAAATCGAAAAGGATTATCTGAAATAGTTATTCTGCTGTTATATTTGCATAATACGACAGCCTGGCTTTTCAGTCGTCAAAATATTTATAGACCTTGAGTAGTGGTAGACATGTCCGTTTCCAAGGAAACTGCGCGCGCGTCTCCGTTAAGTTCAAGCCCATCTCGTGGTTCACGCGAGTTTCGAGCACAAGTCAAACCATCTTTCACATAGCCTTGACACGAGCGTTAGTGGAGCGGTCGGCCAAGTTTAGTTCCGTTAGCATAAAGCCTAATGACTTACTTCATGATTTGCTAATATTGCAAATAGTGAAGATGAGACGGGTGCCATTTCATTCGCACATCTTTGATGTTATGGACAATTGCCATTCTCATGCACCAATAGAGAAAGTAAAAGATCATCAAGTCTTATTTGGTATTCAGCGTCATGTTAAGTTAAAAAAATATGAAGAAGTTGTGAGAGCTAATTACTGTGTTGGATGGGGTAATTATATTTTTAAATAACACATAGTTTCTCAGTTTAAATAGTTTTATATGTTATTATTATAATTTGAAACACACTAAGTTAGCGCACACCTGTATTTCGTGCATGTATAATGTCTGTGAGGCTTTATGGACAATAGATTAGTTACGTCAAAGTTTTTTTTTTCTTTCTGAAATTGTTGTAATTTTTGTTTATTGATAGTATCAAATGTGGGTGTATTAAGTAAATCCAATCTCCAGGCTTTCCGATCTCAGTGAACCAAAGTTTCATTTGATGACGTGAAGAACCATTGATCTTGATGTATGCGGAAATGGATGTAACTTAAAACTATAGCACTCAGCTACACATTATCTCAGGTCAACCTCCGCCTCGCGAGCTGCGTATGGCTCGTTGGATACTTTAGGCCCGGCATGGCCAGGTGGTTAAGGCACTCGACTCGCAATCTGAGGGTCGCGGGTTCGAATCCCTGTCACACCAAACATACTCGCCCTTTCAGCCGTGGGGACGTTATAAGTGACGGTCAATCCCACTATTCGTTGGTAAGAGAGTAGTCCAAGAGTTGGCGGTGGGTGGCTGCCTTCCCTCTAGTCTTACACTGCTAAGTTAGGGACGGCTAGCGCAGATAGCCTTCGTGTAGCTTTGCGCGAAATTCAAAAACAAACAAGAAAAACAGAAAAATTCACGCAGTTACAATTTCTGATTTAAATCAAGTATCTTTGTAGTGATAGCCATAAAAAAACTAATTATAGTTTACTGCAATACAGTCAGAAATTCCTCAAACCAATGTTTTGTTACCTCATTCTTTAGCACTATTTGTGCGTTTTTAAAGTATAATATGGAAATAACTGGTGTTTTAAACCAACTTCCGTGACAGGATTCTCAGAGATTGAAATACAACTAGAGGAATTTAAGAAGAATTGAGAGGAATTTCGTCTCCGAATGTCTATGCATCTTGTGGGTTACTTAAATTTTGTTACGTAGCTGTAAATAATTTTAAAGTTTGGTATTAATCGTAGATTTTCTCCACCAAAACTGAAAAAATTAGTATGAAATTAGTATGAAATATTTTCACTGTACTGTTTTTAATTTCTGTTGAATAAATTTAATAAGTTTTGCTGACACTCTTAAGTTTACTTACTGGGTTAAGAAAATTTTCTTTCAGTTTAAATTTTCATTAAACGGTGGTATTTCGTGGTATTTTTTTTTTTTCTGTACTGTCTTTTCCTTGATACCTATGAGAAATCACAGTAACTAGAAAGGAAAATGAAGTACCAGTTGTTAAGATTAAGTCTTTTATATTTTCACTAGAAGAGTTCCTGGCCCATGAGAGTACCGTCAACTGCTTGGCTTTAGGCAGAAAGTCGGGAAGAGTCATGGTCACCGGGGGAGAGGACAAAAAAGTCAATCTATGGGCTGTTGGCAGACCCAACTGTATTATGGTAAATATGTGCTTATCTATGTACGTATTAAAGCTAATTATTTTACAGACTGCAAAAAAACAAAAAAAAACAACAACAACAAAAAGACATTTGAATAACGTCACGTATTTTAGATGATTTAATTATTTATTCTGCTTCTATGTAAAGTTCCAGTAGTTTCCGCGTCAGGGAGTTACACAATAGTGTTATTTTCTATAGTTAGAAGTTATGCTGCAATTCTTATCAATATTCATGATATATTATATTCATTATATATTATATTCGTGATATATTTAGGCATCATTTTTATAGACAAGAAAAATATATCTTACATGGTTTGGTGGTTAGAACTCTACTCATAACATGCGGGTCGCGAGTTCGAATCCCGTCACCGAACACGCTTGCCCTTTCTGTGATTAGTATTGACTAGCTACTTTCTATCACTCCAAAATTAGAGACGGCTAGCGCAGATAGCCCTGGAGTTGCTTTGCGCGAAATAAAACAAACAAATATAAATCCAAATTGGAGACAACTTCAATTAGCATTTTGAAATATTTTATTATTACAGTTTTTGTGCTGCTTTAAATTGTTTATTTTTTATCCCCCCTCTTTCTTTAGGTTAAAATTTTTGATGACAGGTGGTCTTCCGAAATTGACAGAATATAAAGTGTTTCTGTCATTAAAAGAATTAAAGTTATTTTATATTTTCCACTCATCAGATTAGGTCTTTTTTTTTACAGAAATATTAAGTTGACCCCTTAAGCATTTTTACAGTTCTTTCTGCATTGACAGAACAAAAACTATTTAGATTTGTTACCTGAAATTTTCTGAGATAAATCCATATTCCCACGAGAATAAATTTACACTGCACAGATGAGAAACATTTTGCACGTAACATGAAATAAAGAGTATTTTTAAATTCGTATCTTTTATAATGTTTCGTTTTTAATTATTTGAAAATTAGCTCTAAAAAGCTGTTAAAGAACAAACCTGAATATAGTAACGCCATTACATCAGTAAAAATAGAAATTTTAAAATAATTTTGTAATCCAAGGTAGGTATAATAGAATTTCCAACGACAATTGGAATAGGATGTCTAAATTTAGTAACTTTCTGCACACACATGCATAATGTAAATCTGTAGATTAAATTTTCTTTAATAGAACTATGACAAATTAACTAAGCCTACGAAAACCGTTAATTACTATATCAGAAGAAAAGTACACTAAACGAGTTATATATAATTTTATTTTAATATCAATATTTTATGTTGTTTTCCTGGATATCTTGTTCAAATAATGTTATATGCTTTGAAATAAGAAATGCACATGCAAGTTTAAATGTACGTATTAATTCACCTCTCTATTTTATTATATTTATGAAGTTGAGGACTTTTACTTGGAGTGTTTCTTATCTGTTGGGATAAACTTTTTCAAACCTATAGGAAGTGGTGATGATGGTAAATGCATTATTTTTACTTTGTTTAGAAAACCTGGAATGACCTGGTGGTTAGGGCGCTTGACTTGCAATCTGCGTGTTGCGGAATCAAACCCCGTTACCAAACTAACTCGCCCATTCAGCCCTGGGGCGTTATAAAGTGACAGCTAATCCCATTATTATTTTTTTTTAATAAAGAGTAGCCCTAGAGTTAGCGGTGGGTGGCATTGACTAGCTACATTTCCTCTATATCTTTAAAATTAGGGACAATCAGCGCTGGTTACCTTCAGTAGCTTTGCGCAAAATTCAATAAACAATAAAATAAGATTGATACATACTGGATTAATTTCATTTAACGTAGAGATAGCTAATAAACCATCGCATTAAATACATAAATGTGAGACAGTTGTGTACTATAAGAGCAACAGTGCAAGGTTTTTTTTCTCTAACGATCGGTGTTTAAAACAGAAAACATCACACCTATATTTACACAAGTCTTTAGAACAAGCGTATACGTTTTCCGTAGATCCAAACTTTTAGATACGATGGAAAATGCAAACACGTAACTCGTTTCCTGTTGAAATAAATGTCTGTTGTTTTTACAGTTTCAAGGACGAAATTTAATTATAATTCATGTATTTTGACGACTTTCTTCTTCACTTAGTAAATGCCTCAAGAAAAACTTCCACAAAAATGACTGAATTGCTTAAGCTTATACTGAAGGAGTCTCGAAAATACATTGCAAGGAAATGAATAATTTACTTTGAAAACTTGAGTAAGTCCAATACTGAGATTAAACTGATTCAAGTCTACCGAATTTTCCCATAGTTCAAAGAGTCTTTACGTCATTACACATTACTCTAGCCTCTTTTGTAGGAAACTTTCATGTACATATTACATATAGGCGTCAGATGGTTAATGAGTTCTTTATTCGTTGTTTTCAATCGAATTATTGCTCTGTCACGTAGAATTACTTGAGTTAGGTTTTATTAATATATAATATGTATATATTTGTTAATTATTCAGCTAATTCTTTTATCAGCAGACTTTTAAATATGCCATTCGAATTTAAAATTAAAGAGACGTTGTTTTGGGGAGAAATTCTGACCTTTTTATTTACTTCTAAAGGTAACACATAAAAAGTTGTGATTTATCAAACAATACATTTTTAAAAGTTGGAAGGAAATGACCGTAGATAATTGTCGTCCAAAATATTTTGTGTTAAAGTTTCGGTTATGTTATTATACTTCAATTAAGCCTAAACAAAGACAAATATTTATCAATATATACTTGTTTTGTTCTCTAAGTAATATATGACGATTTCTTTAAGCTTCTCTCTGAAGGAGGGTGTTAGATGCGTGTTTAACTTCACCTTTTATGCTAATACGAATGGGTCAAAGTTTTGATTCACACACAAGTTCCGTAAATAATACCTGGTAGTTTCCAATTTGTGACACAAAAGTTCCGTAAATAATACCTGGTATTTTCCAATTTTTGACACACAAATCCCATGAATAATACCTGGTAATTTCAAATTTGTAATCCCAAAAATGTCTTTGTGGGTGTGAGAAGGACATTCTCTGCACAATACAGTAGCAAGTATAAGCGGATAACCGGTTATAGTGTTTTGTATGTATCCACCCCTCAATTACTCCCAGCTTGAATAATAAACGAAGAGAACTCGTGAAGATACGGCATCACACGCTTCGATGAAGCATATGCTTTCTCACTGAAGCTGTATATAGAATCTAAAATAAAAAAAAGGGCAATAATAATAATAACAGGAAAGTGATATAAAGAAAAGTGAAAAAGCGGAAGGGTAGACACGGTGAAGAAAAGAAGTAAAAAAACTGTGGAAGAATGAAAAATAAATATCGAAACATGGCTTTGAAACCTCTTCCAAATAGTTTTGAAGTATCTGAGGCACAAAAATAACTGAATTAGTGTGATTTCTTATTGAGAAGAAGAAAAGAACAAAGAAAATGTGATGAATTGCTATAGATTTTTGTTATGACACAACACAGTAGTTTTAGTGTTAACTTTGGTCTCATGGTGTTTTCTATGCAAATTTTTTCCAGAGCTTGCGTTCGCCCGATCGTTATGTAAATATCAACCCATTTTTTAGCCACACACACACACATTTGTTTTGGTGAACCATTTGTTTAACATGATGCCTTCTGAACTTGGCAACTAATCACTATCGAGCTGGTACTATTATTATTAGGTGATTTTTCTTCGTACTGAAGCTTAAGAAGAAGTATATGAATATGTGGACTAGCAGTTATCGTACCCGGACTGTCAATTCGAGGGTTCATGGTTTACGTTCCGTTGTCGGAAAAACGTATCCCACCATTTGGGTTGTAGGCGTAATTTAAGAGAAACATTCGCATCTTATTATTTGATCAAACAAGAGTAGCCCAACTCAGCGTTGACGGTCGGTGTTGTTTATCGGTTACCTTCCCTATAGGGAATGCTATATGTGTAAGGTTGCGAGAAATTCTGAAACAAATAGAATCAGTATAAAGTTGTATGGTCTTGCTTTAAAAAGCTCCTCATTGCTGAACCTTATAGTTCCTTCGTGATTATGAATTTTTTAAATCCGTGAATGGTCTCTCCCGATTATTTCTTTGTTGAGAAGATAACGAATTATCTTCTAGGAAACCTTGAAGCTTTCAACTATACATGGTTAGCATTTGGTGGAAAAACTTGAATAACGCGGTTGACTGAAAGTCATTTTTTGGTGGCCCGGCATGGCCAGGTGGTTAGGGTACTCGACTCGCAATCTGAGGGTCGCGGGTTCGAATCCCC